AGCGGGGGCGCGGGCGGGTGTGGGGGCGGCCGGTTTGACCTAAAAATGTAAAACTACAAAGTGTTTTGTCGATTCAGCCCTATTTCTTACAGCTCAACCTTTAAGTTCAGAAGTCTCTTAATCAAATAAGCTCCAGCTGTGCACTCTGAGAGCAGCTGAAGACTGAAAACAGGCGGACACGTTGGACATGTCCTGTTTCTGTCCCCTCTGTCTTCAGTTTTCTGTTGTCAGTTCGGTTCTGTCTGCTCTGAGCTGCTGATCAGTTATCTTCTGATTCGAGTCTCTCAGGTTAATTTTAAACAGAAAACCTCCTCTGTTGGACACAGCAGGTCATGTATGAGATGAGATGACATCAGGTCCAGACTTAGTTTGAATGAGCTGAAACCAGCAGCATGTCTCCATGGGGCAGACTTGTTGTTGACCCAATGAGGCTGTTGGAGCTTCTGATCACAGCTGACAGATCGATGTAATAAATCTACTCGTGACCTGTCGGCCCCACAACTGTAAAATGTAAAAAACTGAGAACAAAACAGCCAAAACATTTAATTTTAAAGAGTCTAATCACACAGAATGAAACAACAGTCTAAAGAATGAAGTCATTAATATTATTTATTAGGAGGATATTTTTTTTCAGCTGATTTCTTTATGTATTTTGAAAAGCGGTGCTCAACATCCCCAAATCAAGGAGGCAACAGGTCCAGGAGAAAAACCATCTTTCTCCTTAGAGACACTCTCCAGCTCCAAAGGGAGGTGTCCAGGAGGCATCCTGATCAGATGAACCTCCTCAACTGACTCCTTTTGATGCAGAGGAGCCGCAGCTCTACTCCAAGCTCCTTCCAGATGATGGAGCTCCTCACTTCATCTCTAACCCCATCCTACAAAGGAAGATTTTAATTTTTAGCAGCTTGGATCCAGGATCTGGTTCTTTGGGTCCTGATCCATGACCACATGTGAGAGTTATTAACCTTTATTTAACCAGACAAATCCCACTGAGATCAGATCTTTTTTGCAAGGGAGACCTGGGACTGAAGGCAGACTAACATGCATGTTTTTGGTCTGTGGGAGGAAACTGGAGTACCCGGAGAAAACCCACGCAAGCACGAGAAGAACATGCAAACTCCACATAGAAAGGCCACAAATCCAACCGGGGGATTGAACCCAGGACCTTCTTGCTGTGAGGCAACAGTGCCAACCACTGAGCCGTCGTGTTGTCGTTGGAACATAGATGGAGAGCTTTGCTAATAGACTTAACTCTTTCTTCACCACAAATGACCAAAACAATGTTATCATTACTGAGGGCAAGTCCTTGATCTGTCTATCTATCTCCAACTCCATCCTACCATCACTCAGGAACAAGACGTCCAGGTACCTGAACTCCTCCACCTGAGGAAAAGTCTCCCCATCCTGGACATTCCTGGGCTGTTGCTGAATGGGTTGCCAGAACCTCCTTAATCCTGTACCTGTCAGCTGCTTCAGGGGTCCTCTGTGACAGCCCGGGCCTAAAGGCCTCCTCCTTCCTCTGCTTGATGGCCTGCATCATTGCAGGTGACCCAGCTGGTCCTTCAGTTGCTGCAGCCGCACGTACCAGTTCAGCTCCTGGAAGCAACATCTGCAATAAGACCCCATGTCCCTGACTTCCCCTGGAACATGTATAAAAACTTTCCTGAAGATGTGAGTTGAAGATTGCATGACTCCACCAGATAGTCGCCTTCTATCCCTCTCTATCCAGGGGGCCCAGTTGGGCTCAGCCCAAACAAGCAACATGGGTTTGCCTTCCTGTGAGCTCCACCTGCAGGAGAGGCCATATGGGTCGAGTGCATAACACCATGAGCAGTGGCCGAAGACAGGGGCCTTGGCACTCTGACCCTGGCTTACCAAAGCTGGCTATTGGGACATGGAATGTGACCTCACTGGCAGGGAAGGAGCCTGAGCTTGTGCGTGAGGTTGAGACGTACCGACTAGATATAGTTGGGCTCACCACAACACAACATGGGCTCTGGAACCAATCTCCTTATGAGTGGTTGGACTTTCATCCACTCTGGAGTTGCCCATGATGAGAGGCACCGAGTCCCTCCTGGACACCTCCTCTTGGAGGTTTCTGGGCACGTCCCACTGGTAGGAGCCCCTGGGTCAGACCCAGAACTTGCTGGAAGAATTGTGTACCGGTATCTTCTGTGGAGCTGGAGAGTGTCCCTGGGTAGCAGGAGGTCTGGGTTTCTCTCCTGGACCTGCTGCCTCCATGACCTGACCATGAATAAGAGGCAGAAGATGATGACTTGAGCAGTCAGTTCTGCTGAGTTAAGTCTCAAAAAGTTTTGTTGTGTTTCTTTATGTTAATGAGCTTCATAAAAACAGGTGGATGAAGTCCTGCTGAGCTCAAACGTTAAGACTCATGTGTCCCGAACAGAATTGAGATTTTTACTGAATTTAAACTGTGAGAACAGTTTTAAGAAGAGAGAAAATTCTAAGAAGCCAGAACAGGAAGATAATCGTTTGATTCTCATCAATTATGCACCATATCTGACCAGTCGATTCCTGGAACTCCATCCTTCCTGGAATTGATCTTGTGTGCATGAGATCATCATCTTTCAACTGCCCTTCAAGAACCAGAACCAGGCAAAGAGCAGTTCTGGGCTCAGATCAGCTGAATCACAGACTGTGTTCCCCCAGACAAAGAGTCAGTTCTGTCTGGAGAGTCACATGTTGGACCCATTCAACACCCACACAGTTAATTACAGACCAGAACCTGGATCTGGACCAGAGAACAACATGCATGTCCTCTGATGTCTTTATCAACAGAAACGTTTGAAAACTTGGAGCCTCTGGGTTCATCTGGCAGAGATCTAAATAAAATCATCTAAAACAGTCGCTGTTTGTCAGAAGCTGTTGGTGCCGAGCTGAGACTTAATTGATTAGATGAAAGCTGCCGGGTCAATAACTCGAGATATGAAACATTTAAGACTCCAAAGATGAGCTATAAGATTTTAGATTAAAAAAAAAAAAAACTCACAGGGAGCCCGTTTTAATGGTTTTGCCATTCTTAAACTTTTCATGATGAGGTGATCTCAGAAAATACTCATCCCTCCATGAACCACCTTTAAGAAAGACAATAAACATCAGCAGGACACGCCTCTAAATACCTACGTCTGGAATAAAGGAGCAAAATGACTAAGCTACCTGAACTCCAAATTATATTTTAAGAAAAACAAACATGCTTGTTCATCCAAACCTGAAATCTTCATCAAACCCATTGAGCCACATCAAGGCCTGATCCTCCTTAGCTGGACCTTCCTGGGGTGAGAAAGTCTTGTGGAACTTAACACCTAAAGACAGCGTAATCTTTAAAGAAGTTTAACAGTTCAAGAAATCCTGGAAGAAGCAAAGGATGGATCCTGGATGATATTTTATGGCTCCCCATTCCAAACAGTTTCAATCGTTAAACTGATTCAAGGGGAACAATTGAGCTCTAAAAACCACCACAACCCTGCTTGAAGGGGGGCAAAGGGGAGAAAGTTTGTTGGAAAAGAAGTGAACTGTCTTCAACTAGCATTCAAGTGATAGCTCACTACCTTCCTTCTCTGCATCATGTCAGACTGCTCTCTACCTTCCTTCTCTGCATCATGTCCGACTGTTTTCTATCTTCCGTCTCTGCATCATGTCAGACTGCTCTCTACCTTCCTTCTCTG